GTTTTGTTGTTGTTGCCCATCCCTCAGTGTGTACTGCTTGGTGACGTCCCTACCATTCAGGATCTACGATCTGTTGCCCTGTGTCCTTCAATGAACGGGAGAGAAAATAGGATTTTTGTACTCACCGTAAAATCCTTTTCTCTCCGTTCATTGAAGGACACAGGTCCCGCCCTCTATATTGGGTGTGTACTCCTAACTGCTTGTTACTTACTGGAGACTTGTCAGCAAGTGAGGGGTTGGGCCACCAGCAGGGGCCGCCCCTAGGCTGTCTTGTCTTTTTGTTATGTGCCTAGCGTCCTACTCCTGCAGGTGGCGATATACCCTACCATTCAGGATCTACGATCTGTTGCCCTGTGTCCTTCAATGAACGGAGAGAAAAGGATTTTACGGTGAGTACAAAAATCTTATTTTTATTGATTGCATGTAATAATCTACTTTTTTGAGGTTGTGGATTTGGGGTTCTTGGGGTTTTCATGAGCTGTAAGCCATAATCATCACAATTATGACAAATCACGGCTTGACTATCTTGCTTTGCATGTAATGAGTCTATCTCATATATTAGTTTCACCTTTTAAGTTGCATTAGTGAAATAAATGAACTTTGCACGATATTCTAATTATTCGAGTTTCACCTGTAAGCACATCTTGCCCTCTTCATCTCCATTACATGTAGTTTAAAGAAGATAGCTTAAAAGGAAGATAACAATGTGATTTATGTTGAGCTTACAGGAAGTGACAAGACACTACATTTCTGGCAAGATGAACAGCTATGTCTCTACTTGCTGAAAATGTTCTTAGCCTAAAAAAAAGGCTATGGGCAGGTAACATGCTAAAGTATATTACAATTTTGTTCTTTGGTTTAAATATCCTTTAATTTCTTGATCTGTTAATTTCTTAAAGAAGAACGCCAGGAAATTTTGATTAACCCTTGCAGTGGGGCTGCCCCAGCACTGCAAGGGTAAGTGCTCGTTTGTGTCTAGGTTAAAAAAAAAATTATACTCACCAGAAGCTCAGAGTCGGCTTCTTCGTAGACCACTCCTTCCAGTGTCTGTCCCCCTCTTCTGCAGCGGCCTAATCCTCAACATGATATACACAGTGCATAGACATGAGGATGCTGAGGAAGATTCCAATGCTGTGGAGGAGACAGGCTGAAGGTAGGGTTGTGACCGCTTTGGGTGAGTATATCTTTGTTATTTGTGTCCCTAGACACAAACAAGAACTTAACCCTTGCAGTGCGGGGGAGCAGGGGTTAATAAAATGTTTTGAGGAGTTCTTCTTTAATGAGTGTATATAAACTTTGTGTGCCTTTGCATATATCAGTTTATTCTCTAAACTTGCCCCATTTTGTCTCCTTCCTTACCCTCCATTTTTTTTAACACTTTTTAGGTGGCGCTGATCATGAGACCGTTGCCCTAGGTTATTTCGTCACCCCTTGCATTGGGACTTCCATTTCAATCATATGCTACCTTCTGCTTCCTCGTCTGGTAGGTGTTGTGTTTTGTTTGTGAGTTTGGATGCTTTGTGGACAGAATGGAATTTTTGATTTGGTTTATTTAACTGCCTCCGGGCCGGCCGTAGTAAAAAAAACGGCCGGCCAGGAGCTCTCTAGATCTGAGCGGGCGTCTTTTGAACCTGCGAAAGTCTTAAAAAAAACGTTTTTTTTTCAAAATTTTCAGTAATTTTTCCTAATTATAATAAAAAATAAAACTCCCAGTGGTGTTTAAATACCACCAAAAGAAAGCTCTATCTGTCCCCAAAAAATGGTGTAAAATTCATTTCAGTACAGCGTTGCATGACGGAATAAACGTCAGTCAAAGTACCGCAGCGCTGAATACTGAAAAATGGCCTGGCCAGGAAGGGGGTCTAAACACCTGGTCTTGAAGTGGTTAATCTTTATCTTTTTTTTTTTTAATGCAGGAGTTTGCACAGTATTACCTCTCCAAATCCAACACAAATAGTTCAAAGAGTTATGAAATGGAGACAAATACAGAATTGTTACATCAAGGTAACATTTTTCATCCAGATGTACAGAGAAACAATTTTGTTACATGCATCGTGGTTACATAACACTGTATATTTAACCCTATAGGAGAGGAAAATGGAGACGCAGGGCAGAAGAAAGCTGTGTTACTGCTAAAAGAGGCAGAAGCTGGTGTAGGGGAGGGGAAGCCAGCTGTGTCTATCTGCGCTATTTTAAGAAAGGCAAGTATGGTTTTCACATCATCACTTATTCAGCTGGAAATATAACTTTTAGGAATTAGTATCATCTGTATCAATTAAACGATTTGCAAACTTTATTTAAAGTCAAGCTGTCAAAGCAATATAGTAAACTGGATTATGGCAGGCACCACAATTGTTCAATTCCTCTCTTGTGTGTTGCGGGAGATCCCAAATGTGGTGTTGGAATTAACCCTTTTGCTGCCAAGCCCTGCGTAATGCTTTTATCCTCAGCCGACCAGACCTTTTTTGCAATTTTCCCCCTTTTTTTTATTTTCTACTGCTTTTAGCGTTTGTAAAATACCCCCCCAAACCATACATTCTCTGAAAGCACAGGCCTGGTATAATAAAAAGATGGTGCCACTAATTTTGTAGGTCCTGCGATAATTGCGCAAATGTTGATCAAATCAATATTAAACCAAAAAAAATACACAATTAAATTGATTGAATTAAATTGAACACACTAAAATCAGTATAAGTGCACACAAAAAAATATAATTTACAAGATTCCAACTAAATTTAAAAGAAAACTATTGAGTTAATAAATAACAAATATTGGTCAATTTTAAATTGTGCCTTTTTGCAAAACGGTAAAAACAAAGAAACGCAAAACTGTAAATATGCAACTTATGCCAAAAATCTGTGTTGTGGTAACACCTGATCTGCAGTGTAGCTGCAGTGTTGGTGTTTTTGTTGTGATAAAACGATGCAGACATATGTTATTGCAACACAGCATATCGTGTCACAATGCTTTGCCATGTGCTACCACACAATCTACGCATCGCATATGCATAACGTACACCACAATATGGTGCGCACTGTTACATGTGTATACTGTGGGGGGGGGGGTTGTATTTTATTTTTTATTTATTTATTGTTTACTGTTGGGGGCCTTAAGGAAAATATCATCAGACCCCTGACATTTCCCTTTTGAAATTAAAAGAGATTGAGGGCACAGAGTCCTCAATCTTTTTTCCTGCTGCCCCTGTTCAGAATGATTGCAGAGGCTTCCTATTCATTCACAAACTGGAGATAGTAAATATTTACTATCAACCAGTCATGAATGCACAGAAGCCTCTGTAGGGAGTGCTTCTTTCCATTCAGAAACTCATGAAAGAACAGGAAGTGATGTAAGCCCTTCCTGTTCATTCATAACTGGGACACATAGCACTATGTGTCCCCAGTTATTTACAAACACTGGAGTGATCAGCAATCACCCCAGTGTTCTGCACAAGGAGGAACCAGTAAATATTACACATTTACCGATCCCCCACTCGGCATCCTGAACTGCTTGCCCATCCTGAATGTGACTGGAATAACAGAACAGCGGCTCTGCTCACCTCCCCGCTCAGCCATCCTAAACTGACAGCACTCTCCTCCGCCCAACCTCCCCGCCGGCTTCAGCAGTCCATTTCTCCTCGGATCTCCGCTGCCTCAGCTCATACAGGCGAATGTCGTGGAACTGGAGAAAGTGCAGAGAAGGGCAACTAAACTCATAAGAGGCTTGGAGGAGCTCAGCTATGAGGAAAGATTAACTGGCCTGAATTTGTTCTCTCTGGAGAAGAGGCGATTAAGGGGGGACATGATCACCATGTATAAATACATAAATGGTCCATATAGTGAGCTTGGTGCCAAATTATTCACGTTAAGGTCACTTCAAAAAACAAGGGGCCACTTTTTGCATCGGGAGGAAAAGAGGTTTAACCTTTGCATACGTAAAGGAATCTTCACAGTTAGAGCTGTGAAAATGTGGAATAGATTCCCCCAGGAGCTGGTTCTAGCTAGCTCGGTTAACTGTTTTAAAAAAAACCCATCTGGATGTATTCTTAAATGCACACAATATTACTGGATATTGAGCTCTTATAGGTATATTAAGCATCAGAGATTGCTGATCCAGGGAATATCCGATTGCCTTATGGCAGTGGTTCTCAACCTTTCTATGGCCGGGACCCCTTGGTAACATTTGCCAAGTTGTGGTGACCCCCAAACGGTAAAATTTAGGGATGCCGTGGCTGCTGCAGCGACATCTGGCGGCGTGGCGGGAGAACTGACACTGCTGCGCTAGGAGAGGGCAGAGGAGGACTCTCACCTTATCATTGTTTATTTTTTATAATGTTCTTATTTTTTAATAATTTGTTTCTTATTTCTTTTTAATCGCTTTTTTATTTTTTTAATTCTTTTATTTCTATTTCTTTAATAATTTTTTTATCTATTTTTTTTCCACTTAACTTCATTGCTATCACACAGAGGTAACAATCCCCTGTGTAATAGCAATTGGAGGTGACAGGTTCTCTTTATTGACCCTGTCACCTCCAATACAGGAGTCCTAGCACAGCACTGTGCTGGAACTTCTGTGACAGGTGAGAGGGGAAGACTGCTATCCCCTCTCACGGAGCGGCAGATTTACTTTTAACCCTGTCAGAAAAAAAAGAGCAGAGAAAGCGCTTCTCTCCTGGGTGGCCGGAAGCCACTGGGCGACCCCTGGCAAATCGTCATTCGACCCCCAGGTTGAGAACCACTGCCTTATGGGATCAGGAAGGAATTTCTTTCCCCTGTTGGAGCATAGATTGCAGCGGGGGGGGGACCGCAATGATAGTGGCTGTCATCAGCGGCTTGTCAGCCGCTGTTCACCGCTATACATTTACAGGGGACAGTCAGGGGGACCCTTTTGATATACCTTTATGGTCGCTAAAGCTTAAAGCATGAGCTTATAGCAGAATGGTGAAAGCCACCAACGTAACGCATACTGAGATGGCCAGCTGGAAGCAGTTGTGTTCAGCTGTATGCCTTACGGTGGCCGGGTAAGGGTTAAAACATTCCCTGTTGTATTCCACTACAGCACAATGTGGGTGCATGAGATGGGAGAAATGTTTCTGCCCTCTAAAAATTCCACTGCTGAAGAAAAATTTTGATAAGGCAGTGGAATGTATTAACATTTGTTCCTTTTTTAATTTTTTGAGATGGGAGAAATGTTTCTGCCCTCTAAAAATTCCACTGCTGAAGAAAAATTTTGATAAGGCAGTGGAATGTATTAACATTTGTTCCTTTTTTAATTTTTTTCATTTTCTATTGTTGCAGGGAATTATTCCTCTGCTCCGTTTTAAG